TTTATATATTTTATATTTATATAGATAGTTGATGGAATTAATATGTATGAATGTGTGTATATAAGTTATTTACTTGTATATAAGACATCATTGATGTCACTTTCTAGCGATGCAAATCACAATACTGTAAATGCACAATCTCACACAAAATACGAAGAGCGCATACATATATATGGTCATAGATAAATAAATCTTGTGTATGTCGGTAYGAAGCACGCAACTTTCCGGATTGTGTTTTGCATCGCTTGAATCAATTTTCTCCCAGTGTATGTGTGTATATGGTATGTGTGTGTAGGTGTGTTTCGCTGTGTCAATTTGTTAAAAAAAAATTTACTACTGACTGCACTGATTCATTTAATGTGTTTTGCTGCTATTTGAAATTTAATACATTGTTGCTTGTTTTATTTATATTTTTTTTAGCAAATTGTACATTAACGGCATATTTACGCAGTGAACAGATCGACATGTAAATGTGTCGCACTTTTTTTATTGACCTGCTTTTAGGCGTTCACAATGCGAAAGTATTTGTAAAGTGTTTATTAGGAGGGTGTGTGGGACACTGTGAAACATCCAATTATTATCGCAAAACAAACTAACACGAGGCTACAATTCATTTATACTTATGTATGTGCATTAAATGCAGAGAAAACAAAATCGCCTCCCATAACGGGTTACTTAAYGCCATTCCACACTCTATGTGTGTGTATGTGTATATGTTTTATTTTTATTGCAAATGCCTTACGTTTACAAAATCGTGCTGCTTGTGTATTCTTCTKCATTATACCTCAGGCGTAATACTTTTTATCGCATCTTAGATGTCTTTAACGTTTGTCGATTCTCTTTTGGCTACTGTGTACATTTTTCTGTTTGCCGATATTTCAATATTTTATCACTCCCATTGTTATTATTATTATTTATTTATTTATTTTTGTATAACAGTTTGTCAAAGTAAATCCCAATGTATGAATATATTATAAGAAAGAAAAAAAAATATATAATAAAGTTGCCGCTAAAATGCGTCACACATAAACTTAATTTAAGCAATAAAAGAATAAAATAAAGTATATGTATTTATGTACATATATTATGTGGTTAATAATCGTTAACAAGAATGTATAACTGAATAACTACGAGACCAGTTGCTTACTTGTAGAGAAATTCGAAAACGTTACAACAATTTATTGCAATAAAAATAGAAAATGGCTCTAAGTGATGGTCTAAAAATTTTCACATTTCGAGCTGTTTGTTTTTACACATGTGTATTTTATTTTTGCATTTAACATATAAATATGGTATAGCCGAATCATAGGGTAATGACAGCAACGACGATTCTTGGGCATGGCAGTGGTGATTAAAGAGGAAAAAGTCTCACCCTCTCCCCAGCTGCCCATGAAGTTAAAATGTAAAAGCGTAGATTTTATTTGATTTCTCCTCATTCTTCTCATATATTTTGTGGCCACTGCTGCCGGTTACCGCTATGAATCTGCCATTAGGCAAGTTTATAACATTCGATTGTTATTACGTTTGTCTTTACTTTTCTTGTTTTCGTTTTCGTTTTTGTCTTTGTGTTTTTATTTAATTTTAATTTTTTTTGCTTTGTTGACTGCCAGTTTTTTTTTATTTAGTTTTTTTTTCTAAATTATTTGTTGTTTTTCTAGTTGGTTTGTATTCAATTCGTTACAGTTTGGTTGTTTTTCATCATTTAAGTTATTTTTGCAACACCTTGGTTTGAATAAAAAATAATTACTAGTTAAATTCATATTTATACAACATGTATACATTGTTTTAATCATATTGTAATTATAGATTTTTTTAGGGAAGAGGGGAGTAAAAGGGGTTTTGTAATGGAAAGAATTGCAATTGCATTTCGTCTAGTAAAAATATATAGTAAATTTTCATTTGCTTAATAATAAAATTTTCAGTTTTTTCTCGCTGCTCTTTTGCTTCTCATATGTATATGCATTTACTTTTCTTTTATTTTTGTTTTCCT